AACATCCAAGTGAAAGATATAACACCAACATGTCAGAAAAAAAAAATGTCAGAGTTGGAAAAAGGATACATCCTTGTGTCAGTATTTTGTTGAACCACTTTTTGCTTTAGTTATAGCCTTTAGTCTACTAACTTTGCACATCTAGACTTTGCAATATTTGCCCACTCTTATTTGCAGAACTGCTCAAGTTCAGTTAAATTTGATGGTGAGCGTTTGAGGACTGCAGTCTTCAAGTCATTCCACAGGTTTTCAGTGGGGTTTAAGTCTGGGCTCTGACTAGGCCATGCAAAAACTGTGTGCTCAGTTTTGCTGTGTGCTTTGGGTCATTGTCATGTTGGAAGGTAAATCTTCTTCCCATTGACAACTTTCTGGCAGAGGGCAGCAGATTTTCCTCAAGAATTTGACGGTATTTTGCCCCATCCATTTTTCCTTCTATCCTGACAAGTGCTCCAGTCGCTGCTGCAGAGAAACACCCCATAACAGGATATTACCCACTCCATGCTTTACTGTAGGAATGCTGTTATTTGGATGGTGAGCTCAGTCATGACTGCATGTGGACTTTCTTGAGGAGTGGCTTTTTTTTCTTGCAACCCTCCCATACAAGCCACATTTGTGGAGAATTTGTGATATTGTTGTCACATGCACACAATGACCACTCTGTCATAAATCCCTGCAATTGCTTCAGAGTTGCTGTAGGCCTCTTGGTCGCTCTTTGTCATAAATTCCTGCAACTGCTTCAGAGTTGCTGTAGGCCTCTTGGTCGCCTCTCTGACCAGTTTCCTCCTGGCTCTTTCATCCAGTTTGGAGTGACGTCCTAATCCAGGGAGGATCTGTGTTGTACCAAATACCTTCCACTTCTTAATAATAGACTTCACTGTGCTTCTAGGAAAGCTTTCCAGGAAAGCTCTTTTCATGCTGAGCTAATCACCATTCTTTTTTTTTTCTGAAATGTTGGTGTTATATCTTTCACTTGGATGAGTAAATACTGCTGAATTAAACAAAAACTGTGTCCATTTTCATTTCAGGCTGCAAAGCATCAAAATGTGATTATTTTAAATGATTCTTTTCTATACCCACTGTAAATTAGCTGCATATATAGGACATTTATGTTGTGCATTCAGTCTCTCATTCCTTGATTAGATGTGATATTAAAAGCAGAGACTTTGAATGGTCATACTGAATAGCGTCAGTATAGAAGCCAACAGCATTTTCTCTGGGTTGCCTTCACCACGCTTGGCTGAGTCGGTTTTCAATGAGGCGAGATGAGCGCAGCCGCTCTTGCATGCTGCCAGCACTTGGCTATAGCACAGTGTGCCGCAGGAACATCTCCTATTAACCTACATTTACATGAAAAGCATTGTTCTATTCATGGATTTCCACTTTGCGTTGGGGACTCAGTTTCTTTAAGCTGGTGTGTGGCCCTAAGGAATCCCACCTTACACAAGTGCCTCTCCCAAAGGCTAAAATCCCAATTATACTCTCCTCTTTATGTGGTACCAGGTCACAACTTCAGAAATAGATGCAGAATGAATGCAGCATGCTGAAGAGAATGGCCTTTTGAAGCAAATGTTAGTATGTCTTCAACCAAAGACTCCCACATACAGGGATAAACAGTCAGATATTTCAACTCAAATGCTCAAAATTTTAAAAGTAAATGCTTTGTAGGATTCATAGTAATGTAATTAGGCACATGTAACCCCCCTCTGCCATCCCGCCTAATGATAATTGCTCTCTTTGTATAATATTTGCAGAAGACTGATTGGGAGGTCGCCATCAAGAGTATTAACAAAAAGAATCTCTCCAAATCTCAGATTCTGCTTGGCAAAGAAATCAAAATTTTAAAGGTGAGTTCTTTTTTTTTTTTTAAAGGAATTAATACTTCCTTAATATTTTAATATTTATAGACAGTGTTTATTTTGTTGTTTACAGGAACTCCAACATGAGAACATTGTGGCGCTCTATGATGTCCAGGTAATGGCGCTTTTACTCATTTATTGCTATAATCTCTGAATGTTTTGTCCCCAAAAACTCTGAGCAGAGATCCCTAGAGCTGTTAGTGCTGTGCTACTATCCACTAAGAGCTGTGAGGGCCTGCGGGACTGGCCCAGTTCTTATATAATACCACCATTAACATGACAAATCACATGACCTATCCTAGACTAAGCCTCGCTGTACATTGCATGACCTCTCTTTGAGAATATCGCACACATTTTTCTCTAATGCTTTAATGTCATTAGAGCGGACGTTAATTGTAATTATATAAACATTAATGCGAACATACATCATGTGCAGCCCTTTGTAAGTCTCTCACAGTGCACATTAGAGAATGTCACTGGCCAGAAGGAAATAAGATCATTTTGCAGCATCCTTTGGGCTGAATGCTGCATACTATGCAGAAAATGTCAGAAGTCAGCCCGTTTTGTTAGCAAGCTAATTCATCCATCAATACCCAGCCTTCTTACTTTTTGCATCTCACCAGCAGGCTCATATAGAGGGAGGGTTTGCCTCCTCTGGAATAGTGTGGGCTGTTTAAGCGCCATTTCATTGGCCCAACCCCTCGGCTGACAGAGCAGGCACTGTTCTGAAAGGACGTTGACGTCTACGGCAGGATCAAGGGCGAAAAGCTGTGGGTTTAATTATGGTTGTTATGATTCAGTCACCTATACACCTTTGACATGTAATGCTTCCCAGTATAGTGTAGGGATGCTCCGATCCGCCTTTTTCGCCTCCGATACCGATTCCGATACCTAGGGTTCGGTATTAGCCGATACCGATCCGATACCACTAGTATAGTGAAGAGAGTCGTTAAATATCCTGCTCTTCCCACGCAGAACACTTCCGCCCGACACAGACCTGCAGGACCCCTCATCATTCAGTTAAGCATCAGTTTTTGTGCTGAACACTGCAAGATTTTTGGTCCACTCCAGAAAGACACTCGAGAAGAAGAGTGATTTCATGTGTAATCGATCTCTCCTGCAAGGGCAGAGAGGTCTGAGTGCACTACAAGCTGTTTACATTCATCTCACTGATCTTTTGTGAAGATGTGTGTTTATCTCCATCTCAAAGGACTTTTTTTAGTTGGTGTGAGAAGTTATAGTATTTTGTCTCGGCTGTGACAATACCAAACTCTGTCCCACTAGGCCCGAGGTGTGTTTTTCCTCCCTGTGCTGAAATGGAGAAGTAGGTGTCAGTGGTGACGTACTGTAGCTTGTTCATCAGCTGTTTTTGGAGACTCACATGGAGTGTCGCTCATTCCGTCAGGCGACCATAAATACATTTGTGCAAAACTGAGATCTGCTTCCTGTTCTCTCCTGCTTTCTAAATCACGCGGTCAGTTCATCTTAATTTACCCTGGAAGATTCAAGTCATTCCACCCCACCATATTTCAGCTGTTCTTCTGCCAGGAAAAGACACAGAAATCTGAATCAAAACATCACTCACATGGGCTTGTGCAGGGAGGCATTTGAATAGTATTTAGATCAGAAATTATATGCGGCCATGAACATAACCTACGTACTCTGTGAACACATATTGTTCTGAAATGCGCATGTAATCCATAAGTTAATGCAAGCACACATTGCCACAAGGTGCTCTATAGTTGGCGTTTAATGACAAAATTAACATTTCATAATATACTATTTTATCTAAATTAAAAATAAAAACCAGCATATGAATAAAAATCAAGAATAAAAAAATAAATGCTACAAGATATACAGTATCTCACAGAAGTGAGTACACCCCTCACATTTTTGTAAATATTTTATTATATCTTTTCATGTGACAACACTGAAGAAATGACACTTTGCTACAATGTAAAGTAGTGAGTGTACAGCTTGTATAACAGTGTAAATTTGCTGTCCCCTCAAAATAACTCAACACACAGCCATTAATGTCTAAACCGCTGGCCACAAAAGTGAGTACACCCCTAAGTGAAAATGTCCAAATTGGGCCCAATTAGCCATTTTCTCTCCCCGGTGTCATGTGACTCATTAGTGTTACAAGGTCTCAGGTGTGAATGGGGAGCAGGTGTGTTAAATTTGGTGTTATCGCTCTCACTCTCTCATACTGGTCACTGGAAGTTCAACATGGCACCTCATGGCAAAGAACTCTCTGAGGATCTGAAAAAAAGAATTGTTGCTCTACATAAAGATGGCGTAGGCTATAAGAAGATTGCCAAGACCCTGAAACTGAGCTGCAGCACGGTGGCCAAGACCATACAGCGGTTTAACAGGACAGGTTCCACTCAGAACAGGCCTCGCCATGGTCGACCAAAGAAGTTGAGTGCACGTGCTCAGCGTCATATCCAGAGGTTGTGTTTGGGAAATAGACGTATGAGTGCTGCCAGCATTGCTGCAGAGGTTGAAGGGGTGGGGGGGTCAGCCTGTCAGTGCTCAGACCATACGCCGCACACTGCATCAAATTGGTCTGCATGGCTGTCGTCCCAGAAGGAAGCCTCTTCTAAAGATGATGCACAAGAAAGCCCGCAAACAGTTTGCTGAAGACAAGCAGACTAAGGACATGGATTACTGGAACCATGTCCTGTGGTCTGATGAGACCAAGATAAACTTATTTGGTTCAGATGGTGTCAAGCGTGTGTGGCGGCAACCAGGTGAGGAGTACAAAGACAAGTGTGTCTTGCCTACAGTCAAGCATGGTGGTGGGAGTGTCATGGTCTGGGGCTGCATGAGTGCTGCCGGCACTGGGGAGCTACAGTTCATTGAGGGAACCATGAATGCCAACATGTACTGTGAAATACTGAAGCAGAGCATGATCCCCTCCCTTCGGAGTCTGGGCCGCAGGGCAGTATTCCAACATGATAACGACCCCAAACACACCTCCAAGACGACCACTGCCTTGCTAAAGAAGCTGAGGGTAAAGGTGATGGATTGGCCAAGCATGGGCATCCTCAAACGGAAGGTGGAGGAGCGCAAGGTCTCTAACATCCACCAGCTCCATGATGTCGTCATGGAGGAGTGGAAGAGAACTCTAGTGGCAACATATGAAGCTCTGGTGAACTCCATGCCCAAGAGGGTTAAGGCAGTGCTGGAAAATAATGGTGGGCGCACAAAATATTGACACTTTGGGCCCAATTTGGACATTTTAACTTAGGGGTGTACTCACTTTTGTGGCCAGCGGTTTAGACATTAATGGCTGTGTTGTTATTTTGAGGGGACAGCAAATTTACACTGTTATACAAGCTGTACACTCACTACTTTACATTGTAGCAAAGTGTCATTTCTTCAGTGTTGTCACATGAAAAGATATAATAAAATATTTACAAAAATGTGAGGGGTGTACTCACTTCTTTGAGATACTGTAAATATAATGTATATTATGAAATGCATATTTTTATTTTATAAAGATTACATTTAAAAGTGTTATTAAATTATTAATGTTTTTAAATGTTAAGTGAGCGTTAGATGATGCAATGATTTAAATCTCATTATAAATATCCAATAACCAATATGTTATCTATATACATGTAGATATATAGATACACATCCATGCAATATTAAGCATTTATAGAAAGATAGATATGTGGTACTGATACATATATATAATATATAGATATATAATGTAATATATATATATATATAAGGCTTCAGTCTGGCACTTTTTTAGTCAGTGAAAAGGAAAACAGATTCATTTTTCAGTTTATACTACTTGTTATTATAAAAAAATTTTGTATAATAGCTGCAATTATACTAAATACTTTTCCAATTATACCAAAGTACTTAATTCCCCAGCGGCAGTCGCATTCTTCTTTGTGGCGTTCTTGTTTAATGCTTCTAAAATTAGTTTGGATGTCTAACTAATATAGGTATTCCTCCTTGATTTAATGAACTCACTATCACTTTGCAGATCTGTCTCTCTCACAATAGTAAGACACTGTAAATACAAAGCAAGTGGATACCTGCTTGATTGCTCCTCAAATGAAATAAATGGCTGTTTACCTCAGCGGGCACAGAGAGCGGTATACTACAGAAGAACGTGACCTTTCTTCAGCACACTTCTCCTGATGGCAGCACGGAGCCCTGGGGAATATCGATGGTGCTCCCTTCCGAGCCCAATTACGCTACCGTGGACTGTTTACAATCCACTGTCATTAAAGATGTTAGGAGGAAATATATATATATTTTTTTTACCCAGCCAGAGGTGTCTAGTTAAAGCATAGCAACAGGAAGCACTTGCCCTTTCATATTTAAGCTGTGCTGAGAGAGGTGACCCTCAGATCCCACTACGCCACATGGAGCATATGCAGTGCAGTAGCGCAACAGGCCAGACCTGCAGCTCCGATAACGATCTCATCCCACATGATGAAGAAGTGTGAATGGAGGCTGCTTGTGATTAATGCCAACGTCAGTGCCAGTTCACACATGCATGCTTGCTTAGAGCGCCTACACATGATGTTGAAGCGTTATTGAGCTTTTAATTACAGGCTTGCAGCGAGAGCTGAGCAGCTCCAGTCGAGCGCTATTCAGCGATGTCCCTGCTCTGACAGAGGGAGGCTGGAGACCTGCTGTAATAACAGGGTGGTGATTCTTCTTCTGCCTGACATGGGTGTGCTTGTGCTTTGCCTTGCCTTTAAAGGGATAGTTCACCCAACTACTCACCCTTGTGTAGGGCTGCACAGTTAATCAAAATAAAACCAAAATTGCGATATGAATTTGTGCTATTATGAAATCGCAAAGGCTACAATTTAATTAAAGAAATATATGTCTTGCATGTTTCAGAATAAAGCATGCCACTGTTTTTTACATGCAAACAGCTGATGATCCGGTGTTTTCAGTGCTTCAGAGCAGATCAGTTTGTAATAAATGCTGCTCCACATGAGTTTATCTCTGAATGTACTATAAGTGTACCTCACTTATATTGCACTGTGGAATGCAACATGCACCAACCAGTACTTTTAAACTGGCTGTTGTCAACAAAAGAGAAACTTTCTTAAATATTCTCTGTTTTATTTTTTA